TCTCTGCCTCTCTCAAAAAGCACATCCCGATCCAGGTGCTTAATCCAAAGAGGAGATTTGTCTCACGTGCGACCTTGCCTCAGGGCCGTGGTCCCATTAGCAAAGAGAATCGGATTGAACTTGAATGACTGAATCTGGACGTGTTCAAGGAGCAGGAACTCGAGATTGAACTGCTTTTCTGTATCTCTGCATACAACATGGCCAGGTTCATTCAGGGTTTCTATCTGATCCTCTTTGCTAGTGGGACCACGCCCCAGGTGTGCAATTGAATTGCAGATTATTACGGTCAGTTGGCATCAGCATGTATGTAGGGTTCAGGGGAAAAAAAAAAAAAAAAAACCACGAAAAAAAAACCATGTACACAGGGACAGGGTTCACTCTGGGCATCGCCACACCACTCTAAATGTGCAAAATGAGAATGAACTTCCTACTGGAACCTGGCCAGATGCACCCACCACATCTGTCTTTTTCACATTTCTAGAGTGGTGTGACGATATACCCTATATCATTGTGCGGCTGCTCTCTCTCTACCTAACTCACATAAGAGTGAGCCACGCGTCCGTCCGTCAGGAGACGCATAAAAATTGGTGTGACGCGGAGAAGATTAGCATGGCCCCTGCATGGCCCCTGCAAAAAAATTGGGGTGCAATCCAAATAAATGGGGGGGGGGGGGACGAGCTGCTTGCCAGCCACATGGATGCATCCACAATAATCAGAAACGGCGCTTGGCCCCACCATATCTGTAATTGACACATCGGAAGAAGCCTCGTATACCCTCGTATACCCCATCTGTGCAATTCAAGACAATGGGCCTTGCTCCACTACTCTCTCCACATGGACAAAAGACAAAAAATAAGGTGGTGTATCTATGCCTTTTCTAGAGGGAGATTCGTCCTCATGTCGTACACATTTGGCAAGTAGTGGAGCAAGGCCCACTGGGTGCAGAGACACCACCCCTTTAGTGACCGGAATTAATAACCATCCCCGCAGCACTGACGGACACTTCACATCCCTGAGACACTTCAGCTCAACCTAGTAGCTAAGATCGCACCCTTCCTTTCCCCTTTTGTGACCCCTGTAGTGACAAAATTCACACTCCCTGACCCCCTTCGTGACCCATTTAGTGATCAGACTCACTTCACCTCACCCTAGCTATGTCTCACCCTTCATGCCACCAAGAGTGACGTCTCTAGTGACCAAATTCACTTCACATCACCCTAACTAGCCATCACCCGACCAGCCCCCTTCGGCGACCCCTCCTGCCCCCTAACAAAATGACCAAAATTCACCCATCCTCCACCCCCCTACTGACCTTAAGTGACTAATTGCAACCCCTCCCTGCCCCCTTACATGACCAAAACTCACCCATCCTCCACCCCCCTACTGACCTTCAGTGACCAATTGCCCTTTTTTCGCCCCAGATGACTCGTATAATGACCAAAATTCACCCTTCCTGCACCCCCTTAGTGACCCATTCAGTGACCAATTTCCCTCTATTACAGCGCGTGGCGCTAGAGGGGAATTTCGGCATTATTACAGCACGTGACGCTAGAGGGGAATTTCGGCATTAAACGAGTCATGACAGGTAAAAAGAAAGTAATTGGTCACTGAATGGGTCACTAGCAGGGCGCAGGAAAGGTGTATTTTGGTCATTAAACGAGTCGTCTTGTAATCGAAGTCGCCCAGGCTTTGAAGTTCCCTCTTTGTGACTTGGAACGCCCCATTTTGTGAAACAGTTAGCGGCCAAATTCACCCTTCCTACTTCCTTTACTCGTTAGTGACCAAGTTCACCGTTCCTGCCTTTGGTAACCCCTCTAGTGACCAAATTCATAAGCACACAGTTGCCCTCGTTGCTTTATTTTTCCAGTCAGCACCGGTCTGCTGTATGGCAAACCCCTTCTTTTTTACAACACCTTTCTTAGGGCACACTCGCACTAGCACCTTTTTTCTTATTTCTGGACGGAATTGCGGCCAGATGCATACAAGTCGGGCCGTAAACGCGGTCAGGTGCATTTAGGATGGCGCTAGTGCGAGTCCGCCCTTAGTTGAGATTTGCCGACTCGGCAAGGTAACAGCTTCTCCAGAGTCATACGAACGGCTGTGTTCAGCCTGACAGATAGCGTGCACTACCTTTCCTTTCATTTTTTTTTATTTTTTTTTGGGAAGCACTACCTTTTCGATTCGACACTCCAGCTGGCCCAATAAAAGGTGTAAAAAAAAATTGCACACAGCAAGCTGAACGTAGGTTTTTCTTTTTTTCCCCCCCCTCAAAATTTGGACCATTTCTCGATTGATGCGTGTAATCCTTGCGCAGGGGCCATGCTAATCTTCTCTGCATCGTTCCAATTTTAACGGATGTCCCGAAGGGCAACGTAGGGTTTTCTGAAGTCTCTTCTTTCTTTGTTCCTAGCTGGGCTACCACAGTGGCCCGGGACCACTTGCCCGGCCGGGCCCAAAAGGATTAAAATAAATAAAAATAAAATTTCATTTTTCAATTTTTATTTTTAATTTTAAATTGGTAAAGAATTTCGATATGACCCTGAGGCAAACGTTGTTCTGTTTATTTTTCTGCATAACATAGTTTGTTTTCGGATTTTTTGGAACTGTTTTTTTTTTTTTTTTTTTTT